ATCAAACAAAGTTTACATCTGGACTCTGTCTCCTTTTCATCCTCTGTACATGAAACATTCCTCCAGGTTTGGCCACGAGCACTCGTCCTCAGCCTTTACCTCGTCATCTTCTCTGTTGACAGTGTTGTCCTCTGTCTCCATTTTGGCTTTTTCTCCAAATCTTCAGTCCATAAATGACTCTGCGGAGTTGTCCTTTGTTCACGTCATACTTGTAGTTAATTTGCACGTTCATGATCTGAGAGTCTTATTGGCTACAAAGATGCAGATCAACGGTTTGAATATTAATTCAAATTGCGACTCAGTATCTGATTTTAAAAGTAGTGAAATAGATTACATGGTCTAAATTGTACTTAAGTATGAGTAAAATTACACACTTGAAATAAATACTCGTAAAAGTACAAGTACCCAAAATATCTATTTCATTACAGTAATGTGAGTATTTGTAATTCATTACTTCCACCCCTGTTGTTTATTTACCAGACACATTAAGAAAATCAATAGGGGGTGGTGGCGCGCAGAGGTTAGAGAAGGTGGGCCTGTGATCGGAAGGTCGCTGGTTCAACTCCCAGTACCGACAACATTTAAATGTGGGTGGGATTGGTGAAGCACCCACACCTGTCTACACCCTCATTTGCCTCACTCTGAGCCCTTGAGCAAGGCCCCTAACCCCCACCATCTGCTCCCCTGGGCACCCCAGCAGCTCCCAGCTCCACACAGAGGCTGTGGCAGCTCGGTGCTCTGTGGTTGTGTCAGGAAGAACATCCGACGTAAAAACGATTGCCAAATCTTCGTGCGACTTAGCTGCTGTGGCGACCCCTGAAGAAGAGAGAAGCCCAAAAGAAGAAAAAGAAAATTAAATCAATAATATATAAACACTGCTTGATGACTTTTGGCCAATGTGTCTTTTAAAATTCTCTATTTTTTTTATATCTTGTTTATGTTCCTTTGTATGGAAACTCTGGCACAACAATTTCCTGCGGGATCAATCAAGTTTTCTTATCTTAGCTTTAGACCTGTAGCTGTTCCTCTCTGGAATAAATTATTTGTTTAATAAAAATTTTCAATTTATAAAACCAGTTTTCGCCACCACCTTGGAGTTCCTGTCCAGCTCTGTGTGAAGCAACAGCTGCAGACGGTGTTACTAATCAACCTGACGCTTGAGTCACTTTTTCTGAGAAGCTCCAGGAGTTTTTCAACGTCAGCCGCGCTCTCTCTCGTCCTTTAATGCTCCGGTGCCTCTAAATGTGCTGATAAGTTCCTCCATATTACTTATTTAGCGCTTGACGTAGCTTGCAAGCACAAGCTGTGTGGAATATTTTGACCTCTCTGAATCACTTGACGAACGCAGTTAAACTAAAAACTTCAGTCAGTGGAAAAAGAAAGCTCTTCCTGTGTCAACACTCAATAAATCAGGGCTTAAAAAAAATCTTATTGTCTTTAACAAATATTAAAATTACATAAATATTATGTGTGCAAAAGCACACAACAGATGCCACAATGTCGTTTTTAATTAAAAGTAAAACCAAAATGGAAAATCTGTGTGAATACCTAAGTCCGCCTTGTGAGTTAACAGCTTTTAGACTTTATCTGGTTCTCACGTGAAGAATTTCCACACAATTTTTTACAACATTGCTTCAGTTTATCGAGATTTGCAGGCATTTGTTTCTGCACAGTCATCTGAAGATCCCACAATAAATGAATCAGGTTGTGATCTGGACTGGATCATTGCCAATGACTCAGTGAGACTAACCTGTATACATAAATGTTGAATATGCTGGTGAAGATTCTCAGTCATCCAGGACATGATGAATTCAAAAAACGTTCAATACAAAAACAACTGGACTTTATTTGGAACAGAAGACGTTTGTTTAATTCACAGATGAGACCCCTCTGTTCCCATCAAGTGTGAAAACTGGCTGGGAATCAGGCTTAAAGTTGCATTATAGGTTTTTGAAAGTGGAAATCCGAGGCCTCCTCCTCTGTTAAGAGACGACTTTTCTCTTTTTACATAAATTGCTTCCTTCACCCCCCTCTCAAACACCCACTTCGGATGTTATCAGCCATTAAATGGCCGTTATTAGTTGTTATCATCCCCATATGTAGCGGTCAGACTGCCCCTCCTGTACCTCCCAGTGGGTTTAAAGGTACGTTGTTAGCGATGATAATAGGCTCTATTTTTAGCTTTGTTAGCGCTCATAATAGCTTCGCATAGTTATGTTTAGAGTAAAGGTTCTGGCGGTTAGGTTTACGGTCTTGGTTAGGTTTAGGCACAAGGGTACGGGGGTTAAGGTTATGGTTGGTCCTCAGGGTCAGGTGTAAGCTTACTTTTAGGAAAAGGGTTACATAAGCTGAAAACAACTAAAAAGATACTTCCTGGTTTACCTCCGTGTGACGCTGCCTTTTTTCAGCAATAATAACGATAATAACATAACTTTAAACCTACTAGGAGGTAGGTGGGACAGTTTGACCGCTACATATAGGGATGATAACAATTAATAACGGCCATTTAATGGACTGATAACATCCAAAGCCGCTCTCTCAAACCATCTGTGTTCTCAGTCCAAAATGTGCACATTTTGGTCCTCAAAAGAGTGTCCCTTCTCTGTGAGGTGGAGGTGAACAGCTGAATCTTGTCCTGTGGAGCTGGATCTCCTGTGTTGAGCCATGCGTCTGTGAAGAGGCTGTTTAGTTTCTCCAATGTAGAGGTCTGGACAGTCCTCACTGCACTGGACTGCATACACTACACCACTCTGTTTGTGTATGGGTGTTTTGTCTTTAGGGTGGACCAGCCTCTGTCTGAGAGTCCTGCTGGGTTTGAAATGTACTGGGATCTTGTGTTTGTTGAAAAGCCTTCTGAATTTCTCTGATACTCCAGCAACATAAGGGATGACAATGTTTTTCCATCTGTTGTTCTCCTTTATCTGTTTATTAGTGTGTTTTGTAGATTTCCTCGCTGACTTGACAAAAGCCCAGTTAGGATGTCCACATTATGCAAGCTCCTCGGATGAGGAGCGAAACGTCTTCTGTTACAAATAAAGTCCAGTTGTTTTTGTATTGAACGCTTTTTGAATAAAGGCTGAATGAATGAAAACTGACACGCCTTGGCTTATTTCTTTTTAAGTTCTTCTGTTCTAGATTTGCTGCTGCGTTTGGGATTGTTCTCCTGTTGCATCATGACCCAGTTTGGTTCAAGCTTCAGCTGTCAGACAGAGGACCTCACATTTACCTTTAATATACTTTGGTTGACAGAAGAGTTAGTGGCTGATTCAAGACAAGTCCAAATCATCAACTGTCCACCACCATGCTTGACAGTTGAAGCTGATTTGTTGCATCAGTTTTTTGTTGAATATGATGTTCTGCATTATGGCCATACATCTCTACGTTGGTCTCATCTAAAGGGCCGTGTGGTGTGTTTAGATTAAACTCGGCAAACCCAAGTAGTGCTGCCATGTTCTTTTTCACAGCATTTCCACACAAGCCATACATGGTCACCAGGGCTTAAGCTGTAAACCGATCGATGCTGGAACGCAAATAGTGGGCAGGCCGGTGGGGGAGGGGGGATCTGGGGGTCCTCCCCCAGAAAATGTTGAATAAAGTGGATGCGAGTTCCTGCATTTTGGTGTATTTTAATGGGTTGTTAAACGTCTATGTTTACCTACATTTGTAAACACTCCGCTTCTGTCAAGCATCTTGCACCCCGTCCCCCTTATGGCTCTGAGACCAACCACTGTCCCTGCTCGTTGTTGTCCAGGTTTCAGGTTTGAATTATTTGTCATATGCAAACCAACACAGGGTCAACAATGCAATGAAATGCTGAAGACGAGAAGAACCGTTTCGATTCGCCCCCAAATTTTTAAAAATAAATCAACAACAAGAAATATCAAAGCATGCAGCAAAAATACAAAAAAACATGGCACCAAAAATGGAGAAGAAATACATCTACAGTGTGGTTTGGTTAGTGAGGTTCTTTCAGCAGCAGCGGTGTGGTCTTGTTAGCAACGGTAGCAGGTCTGGTTATTAGCTTGATGGTAATAATGACCGCAGCAGCTCCCCTCCCAGACTGCCACCCAGGTCCGATAAACACAAAACTCCAAGATTTTCCCAATGGAACCAAACTATTACGTAGAGTTTGGTCCGTGCAAGCAGGTAGAGAATCATGGAGACAATCGCTATGACAGGCTGGAGCCTGAGCCAGAGGCTGGAGGGGGGCCAGGAACTGAACCATGATGGCAGGATGGCAAGGCAGCGACACAAAACTCTCCATACTGCGGCACTCGTCCGACTCCACATGTGAAACCTCCAGGCGGCTGCCATGGGCTCCTGCTCACGTACGACTGCCTGGTTAGCTCGGCACTCACCCCCACCACTCTTAGGAGCAGAGATGTTTTTAAGGGTAGAGGTGGAAATGCTACTTGAAGAAGCAGCTCGTAAGTGGCTGTTATGTTTAAAACGAGTGTTTATGTAATTATTTTCAGTTTACATATCCAACATAAGTCTTATTAGTTCAAGGCAGTCATATTTGTTCATAACTTTATTAATAGTAAGCCTGAGAGTTACCGGATCCAAGCAAAGGGTTACCGGAACGCACCCTATCAAAATAAGACAGTTCCCGGATCCTGTTCCGGGAAGATCCGACTCAAATTGAACCCTTATGGTCACTATTTTTTCCTAACTGTACAACCTGCAAACTGATGCCGGTAAAATCTGAAATATAAACTGAATTTAATTGAAAATGAAGCTCAAGGTCGTGTTTTGTAATTTCTCTGAGCAAAGTCCCGTCTGACCTTGGAGTGAAATTATCCACATCTGAGAAGACCGGCAGCTCTCTGAAATGTTTTTTTTTACTTGTCTTTCTCACTGTAGAATAATCAACTCCAAGTTGTTTGAAAATGCTTCTGAGTATGGTCATAGTTGCTGATGATGAGTTACACATTACATTCTGTCAGCAGTGTCTGGCTGCCACTTTCCTTCTTGCAGTAAATCCTGTGGAAGCAGTGAGGTAGACTGAGTCTTTCAAACTTTTTTTTTCTTCCAATTAGGCTTTAATTTAGTTTAATAAGTACTGTCATGCTGGAATATGTTGTGTTAGATTTGAATACATTTAAGAACTGGATCAAGACCAGATCATTTTTCTTGTGCTGAGACAAAAAAAAAAAAAGTCCACTATATTTAAAAGATGGTGGATTTTTTTTCCCCCCATTATTGTATCAAATGATTAAACAATTAAACCAACTACCTTTGCTCTTTTAGATGGAAAGCTTGAAAAGAACTTGTACCCAATGCGCCATCATTTCCAACAATTACGTTCCCGTGAGATTAGAGCTCTGCTTTTGGATGTTTACAAAAAGATTACTGGTTTGTTGATGGTGATCTGACAGAATAAAAAATTAAGATGTTTTTCCCAGAACGACTTGGCTAAGCATTCAGATTTTAGCACATTTTTAATTACTATTGCCATGAGTTAAATGCTGTTTTCTGTCGGTTTTTAGATGTTCGGGGTTGTAATTATCAGTCAACGTTGTCAACAATGAACATTTGTTCCACACGGGCCTGAGAAGATGTTTTTGTGCCATTCTCATAGCAAGTTGATCTTAAACCGTGGAGCACTCAGTATTTTAAAGGCTATAATCAAACACAGAGGTGATCTAAAACTAAGAGGCTCTAACGATATTTACTGGGCTTGAAGCTGAATTTATTCCGTTTGTTTTTGTGATTGTCACACCGATTTTAAATATGAGACTCCGTTTATTGTTAAAACGGTTAGTTCAATAAATGTTGGAGCACATGCGAGGTGGATTAAAGGCGTGATTTTCTCACATATAAAACCATGGAAAATACTTTTCCATCTCCTTTTTGTTTGCTAAAATTTCTGTCAAAAATACATTTTCTGCTGAGAGCCTTTATAGTTTTGTTTTTTTCCTGCAATCTGAGACCTTCATGTTTTTTTTTAAGTTTACCTGAGGGCCTCTAGGTGGCATCAAAGGCCCAGTTCAGGTCACAGCCCTGATGACTCCTGTTACCTGTGTGGAAATACCACTGTGTGACTGAAGAAGGGAAAGTCATTATGTTGTTTGGTCAGAATTTACTCACATAGCTGTGGACGTGATCAGACCTGTTTGGTGTAAACTGCTTTTTTTTAAATTGTTTAGAGGATTTCATGCAAATTTTGTGCACAATAAACCGACAAAGATATTAGTTTATATATATATTTTTTAAAATATTTTACAAAAACTCGTCCCTAAGAAAACATTGAGCTCATTTCCCATGATGTGCAGCTTTTTTCGAGATACTCAAATGGTCAGAACATCCACATTTAAACGCGTTAACGATCCTAAACTCAAATGGGAAAAAGAGATCTCTTTATTTTTTTCCTCTCCTTCGTAAATCGTTGCCAGTCATGTTTGAAATTAGACAAGATAGGGCATGCAAATAAGTAACAGAAGAACACGGCTGCGTTTTCATGCTCGGGCCTATCAGCCCAACCCTCCTTCACCATTTTCCCTCCCTCCTGGTCCTTGCCAAACAGGATCTGTAGGATCTTACAGAGTCGTTTTCTCAGGAGACTGGAATGTCAGAACACAAGGCAGAGCGCCTGCTGGGACATGCTCCTCAGATTCTCTCAAACTTACGGGAAAAAGTGTCCAGAATGAGTCGCTTGCTTAGCCATTTTATTTCCAGTCAGCGTTGGGAAACCACCTGCTTTGTAAGATTCCTTTTTCTTCGTTTGTTTCCCAGGTGAACTGCAGACTGACTCACTGGTTGTCTGGTGCATCATCCTAACTGGTTTTTTTAAAGGTGTCCATGGGTTCACAACCTGCTTGTATTTTTTTTTTTTTTTTCCGCAAAGACAAATGGCACAATGCAAATAACTACTGTGCAATTTTAAAGTAAAAAAAACACAAACATATATATATATACATATTTATATAAAGAACTGTAGTATTTTATTTGTCAAAAGTGTTTTAAAAACTCTGTCTCGTGTACGGCTTATAAGCAAGTTATTACACAGCAGATAGGCCAGCCGTTCAGACTAGAAGAAACCCAAGTGTATCAGAATATAAATATAATACAACGAAATTGTGGCGTTCGTGCTGTTTTAGACGAAGGGCACAACTAAAGAAATGTAAAGGATTGCTCAGCGGGTTTATCGATCACCACACACGTCTCCGATGCTGCAGAAACAGAACGAAACAACACAATGCTACATTTGTCCGTGTCATCGTGAACCAGGGCTGGACGCACGCGTGTCCACGGTGACAACGCTCCGGCATCAACACTAAGCGCTGCATGCACAAGCAGAGCTGTTTGTATTGAAATGTAAAAAAAAAAAAAAAGTAAAAATGACAGAAAATAGTCCAATTTCCACACGGGTCAGCGACCATTTGTGCTTTAGTTACCGGGCCAGTGGCTGGCGGTTGGCGACGAGCTGACAGGGGATTCTTTGTGGTTTGGGCTGTGACTGTAGGTGGGTGAGTGGGTAACGCTTGGACTGCTGGGAGGTGTGGAAGAGCAGGAGGAGGACTTGGACTTGATCTGCAGCCACTTGTCTTCGCCCAAAGCCTTGGCGAAGTGGTCGTCGACGGACACGCTGATGGAGAGCTGCTGGGAGCGGCTCTGCTGGTAGTTGGCGCCGAGGCTCCTCTGGAAGTGCTCCTCGAGGACATGGTCGAGGTTGCGTTTGGAGGCCACTGGCAGAGGGAGGAAGCATGACACACGTCAAACACGCCTCGGTGACTCACCGTTTGTCTAAGAGTGAGCGGTAATTTGAGTGTGACGATCAGGGAGTGAACGTCTGGAGTGAGCTCCTTCGAAGGAGTTGGAGACTGACCTGATGAGAGGCTTCTGTGGACCTCAGATCTGCTGGAAGGTTTTTTTATTGAGGAAACACAGGTGATCACAGAGGGACGCACCTGAAAATCAAGGAAAAGGGTTATTAGTTCAGCCGAAGTGTGACAGTGCCCCCTGCTTTGTTTAATTTTAATCTTAAATCTTCTAATCTAAACCTGAACATGCACAGTGGTAAAATAACAGCAGTTTAATTTGAATTTCTTTCTTTCTTTTTTTTGCAAAGCCATTAAACTGGTTGGGTTTGCTCAGGCAAAGCCGAGTTCACTCGCAGTGTGATGGCATAAACAGCTCAAAGCAGTTTGTTTGGTCTTGTTGATGGCATTCCTCCCTCCATTGCTTACATTTTCTTCCTGGATCCGGCTGGATCGCATAGTTCAGGCAAGCATAGGCCTGTGCACACTCATGGAAGCACAATGCACTGTGCACTTAGATTCACTGACTAAAAGGCCTGAGATCTGTACCACCACTGTGCTTAGCTTTAAGCCACACGCCGACTACAGAGGGACATGAAATATGCCGTTTTCCTATAATGACCATCCAAACACTGTTATCAGACCTGAAGTCTGCACGTGTCCAGTAAAATACCTGTATTTGATTAGTGGGTGCACTTTTGGTCTTGTCCTCTGCGTTTTCAGGGTCTTTTCTGGGTTTCTTGATGAGGGCAAGGGGCTCGTCCATGACTGGTGTGTAGTACACGTAGTTCGGCACAGGGCTGGTGGGGCTCGGTGTTGGACTCTGGCTCGGTGTTGGACTCTGCGGGCTGCTGAACGCTGCTGGTGCTCCTCTTTGGACCATTTTGCTTCTGCTTATCGCCCGTTCTCTCCTAAAACGAGCATTCGTCAGAAAATATACCCTCTCGTGGAGAAAACGTGCATTTACTTTTTCCATAAAAGCACGAAGAAATGGTTTCACCAACCTTTCTTCCAAAGTTAGACCTCGGTCATGGCTGCGCTTGCGTTTGATGGGAATCACGGCGGGAGCTGCTCGAGCCCGGTCATTTGGCATATGTCTGTATCTGTCTTCGCTTCGGAGATGGGGCTGACCTGTAAATAGAAATCAAGCCTAAAATTAGAGTTGTGGAAAGCTGTAAATAACTCAGTGATGTATTACAATGCATCTCAGAGCAACCAGCCTTGTGCACCAAATGACCACTGATGGTTTTACCCAAGAAAATGGCGCGTAACTGTCATCGATGAGTAACAGCTTGTTTTGATCCATGACATCAACCCGCATGACTAGAATTCGTGGGAAAACTTTTTTTTCTTTTTTGTCACCGTTAATTGTAAACTCCGTTAAGCTGTAAAACTCGATCTTCCTGATCAGTTAGAGTTACAACAGTACACAGCTGATTCAAGGCTAACGGTAAAGTTGTTTTTATGCTCAAACGCTGGCATCCAGCCCAATCACACGCTCGCAACAAGGGCACAATCAACAGTTATTGTTAATACAAAGTCACTCATCTGAAAAAAAAAAACACTGTTAGGACACAATAATGTGGGTGGCACCCTTCTGTGAAAAGGCCATCAAAATTAACATGCATATAGCTGAATTTTTAATGTACTAATAAGTGGGGCGCTAAAGTTTCCCAGTCTGTGTATGAATTATCTGCGTGTAAATCAAACATCATAAAGATGAATTCTACCAAATCAGTGTGCGATCTCAAGCTTGTGTGCCATAATCAGAACACATCCACTGTTCACAGAGGTGATTACACTTCAACCCATTGTTTGACAGCACGCTCAGTTAACTCTTGGACTGCAGGAGGGTCTGTTTGTGTTCACGTTACAACAGCTCACCCACCTGAAACTATAGGTGATTATCTGATTTGCAAAGGAACATAAAAGAAGGTGTTTGGCACCTTCCCCCCCCCAACTCCTCACTTTGCTTTCCCTATTGCATAAACACTCCAACACCTGCGCGCTGCTCCTTCACACAGTGTGCCATTGTGGAGGGGGGGCAGGTTTAACCACACCTTTGCTGATTTTCTAATGCCTCAGGCATGGATATTTCTTCCTTATTAGCTTTGAGAACACGCTGCGTGACCTTCTGCTTTGCTGCATGTTAACATACCTCTATAAAATTAATATATATATATATATATATATATATATATAAGTGGCACAGGGTTATTAAAAATTCCATTGAAGTTTGAGAACAGTAATCAATCCAAAGTTATTATTTATTAGTTTTAAATCTTTACGTAGAAAGAGCGCTTACATTTCTCAAGCAGTTTCTGAAAGACTTATATTTTAACTCATATCTGCTGGTTGCATCTCTCCATTAATGCATTTACGTATAAATCATTGAGAGAACAAACATGAAAGTAACAAACACATATGTCAACTTGGATGCATTATTGAGTCAAACAATATAATGGTTATGTTAAAACTATATGTCCCAACATAACCATAACAGAGTTATTTCCATATATCAAGGTTTTTACAGATATTCGATCAGACAACACGGTGGGATCAAAGTAAGACACGAAATCAAGCTCACCTTCTAATATGTAGACCTTGAAGCCACTGTTTATCCGAGTAATGTACTGGAAGTTGGCTACAGCCATGGCTCCTCGATTCAGTTTGCGTGGAGGCAAATCCTCAGGAACACCGTCACTGCTGCTGATCACCACGAGCTTCAGCTCAGGTTGTATTGGAAAGGTAAATGAGATGCAGGGTCTGAGCTCAGGCAGGTAAAGTATATCCAGGTGAGCTTGGGTAGGCACAGTTGCTTTCTTGTGACTCATCCCCTGCAATTAGATTGGCTGCAGCCTGGGCCAATGGCAGAGCCCTCATCCATTCACTTGTGTTGTTATTGTGTTTGAGGCGGAATGTTCTCACAGGTAGACCTGTTCCAGAAGTGGAAAGTTGAGTTGTTAAATGTCACGGTGTGAAAGAGTTTGCGCCTCTTTTTTCTTTTTTTTTTTTCACCATGATTGAGGCCAGTGTTTAACAATTTTATTTTTTTAGCATCTATGAACGTCATAAATGAAACCTTTTCAATCCCACGTGTCTTTTTTCCTTAGCAACTTGTAGAATTTTGTTCAGAGTTTGTGTGTGGGCAAAGTGAACCATTTGTGTCTCTCTATGAAATCAGCACCTGTCCCCCCACTACCCCACCCCACCGCCCCACCTAACCACCACCCTCTCTCTCCACTCCTGATTTGCAATCTCACCAAACTGCATTTTTCTGAGTGCTTAGCCCACCGAGGGCTCCAGTCATTCCACTGACCTGCCCACACACGCTCTGCACTCTGAGCTCCCGCCTCGGCTCTGATCCAAAGGCCTTTGTTAAAGGCCGGACAAAGACACCTGAAGATTCTGCCGCCATGAGACGAGTTCAGCCATGTTTATGATGTTGGATGTACAGGACAGAACAATATTACGTTACAGAGTGTGAATGATGTGCTTTGAAGCTTGTTACCACTAAAACCATCCTATATTTATGTTGTTTTATTTCTCCATGTAGCCTGGACAGTGCCTTCTGATGTGAACACTTCAGTAACACTGAGGGTTTATTACAGCTCAACAGTGCCCCCTGGAGTCACAAACTACACAAATAAATCATTGACATTCACACAAAACCAATGTCTTTGAGCTTTTGTTAATATTTAGTGACTTAAAAGTAGTGTTTTGATATACGCACACGTGTTGAAACTCAACTTAGCTCAGTGACAAATTCCATGCAGTGTTAACATTTTGAAATGCGAAAAATTTAGCTTTAAAATGCAAAGAATCTAAGTGGTCCATCAAGTTCTATTTATGAAACGTTCGTCCTTTTGTCTGCAGCTCGGTCCATAAGGCATGACTTCACTGCTAGAAGGATGTCTGAGGAAACCGCATCACCTAGGAAACTAGTTTCAAACCATCTTTTTTTACTATTCTTAATTATCACAATCCACACATCAGTAATTGAAATTAAAATCATGTAAGTTGTGTCAGGTTTCATTTTCAAACAAACAAGAAAATGCTCAAAGTTTGACCAGATGCCTTTTTGAAGCACGCGTGGAATGCCAAGTACAGAGTATTTACATAGTGTTCTGATGACGCTGCTGCTCCACGTTAAAAGCTTTTCCAACACACTTTGAAATTTAAAGCACTATATACTCAGCTAAGTTGGATTATTGTCACAATCTCAAAGAAAATACACTGTTTTGAACAGAAGTGCTGTAATTCTTCAAAGATGATTATCATTACACAGCAGGAAAGCAAACCAGCAAAGTAGCTGCATACAGTATTTTGGCTGTTTAATAAAAAGAAACACTTTTAGTTATTATCAATATATTTTGCTTTAATGTACATAACGTCACTCTGCCTAAACAGCTAATGAGAAAACTAAAATAATGCAACTTTTCCACGAGTCTTTGTTTATAGGATAGCTTCTGAATATTCAACTAAATGAGTTTTTGAATGAGAATGGAATATTTGAAATCTTACAGTCTGGTTTTAAACAATTACACAGCACTGAAACAGCTTTAGTTAAGGTTTGTAATGACATTCTGTTAGCAAATGATTCTGATCAGTTTGCCATACTTGTACTCCTGGACCTTACTGCTGCTTTTGATACTGTTGACCACAGTATCCTTATATCAAGTTTAGAACACTGGATTGGGATTACAGGTGCAGCATTAGAATGCTCGTGTTAAGGTTGGAAATAGTGTATCTGCATCAGTGCCTCTTTCCTGTGGGATCCCGCAGGGCTCAATTCTTGGACTCCTTTTGTTTTCACTTTATCTGCTCCCTTTGGGGTGTATCCAGAGGAAACATTGTCTTTCATTTCATTGTTATGCTGATGATTATCAGATTTGTCTGCCCTCAAAACTTAACAGTTCTTTCACCATTTGCCCTCTGTTAAGTGTCTTGATGAGATCAAGGCATGGACAGCTTCAATTTTTTTTAAGTTTTCATGATCAGAAAACTGAAGTCATTGTGTTTAGCCCTAGCTCTACCGCTGTCTCTGATCTTGTAAATCTTGACTCTCTTCAGCCTTATCTTAAGCAGTCTGTTGCCAGTCTGGATGGTTTTAGACTCTGACGTTTAAAAAACAGATTAACTCTGTTCTACAAAAAAGCTTCCTCCAGCTAAGATAGATAAGCTTAAGTCCGTGTTGACCAGATTTGCCCTTGAAAAAATAGTTCATGTGTTCGTTACTACCCACCTAGACTACTGTAATGCGCTTTATCTTAGGGTCAGTCAGGTTTCCCTTTCACGTCTCCAGCTCGTCCAAAAATGCTTCAGCTCAGCTATTAACAGGAACTCGTAGGTTTGAACACATCTCACCAGTTTTGTCCTCCCTTCACTGGCTCCCTGTGCGTGTCAGAATTGATTTTACAATTCTCTTATTGACTTTTAAGTGCATTAATGGCCTTGCACCCTCATACCTCTCTGACTTCAACCTTGTGTTCCTTCTCAGGCTCGGAGATCATCTGATCTGATGCTTTTGGTTTTACCAAAAACCAGGTTGAAGCTCAGAGGAGATCGAGCCTTTTCAGTCATGGGCCCTAAACTTTGGAATAATCCGCCCCCCAATATTAGACAGGACACTTTACTTCCTGCTTTTAAGTATCTCCGAAAACCACACCTGCACTGACGTTTAACACAGTGTGATTTGATTTAGTATTTCATCGTTTCTCATTGTTTTTGTGTTTTTATGTTTTTAGTTTTGATGCTTTTAATTACTTCTTGTTATTTTTTCCCCTAATTACTGTCTTGATCTTATTGTGAAGCACATTGGTAACAACTGCTGTTTTAAATGTGCTTTATAAATACATTTGTCTTGACTATCTTTGAGTTGTCCTGCAAAGCTAAATCTTTTTAAAAACATGTAAACAAAGCTTTACCTGCTTCTTCCTTTCTGGGTCACAGGGGTCACTGGTGCCCATATCCAGCAGTCAATGTGTGAGAAGCGGGGGACACCCTGGACAGGTCCAAGTCCATCACAGAGACACATAGAGACAAAGGAGACAAACAACCATTCACTCTCTCACTCACACCAGAGTTACCAATCAGCCCAATATGCAATGTTTTTGGTCTGAGGTGGCAGCTCTACCAACTGAGCCACCATTCCACCCATAACTGACATTGTATTAATTTTCCTCCCTGGCTCTGATCGAGGTGGCTGCTTTTGTCTTTCCTCCCCCGTTCTTCCTTCCTCCTGCTCTGCTCTCTGTGTGTCTGAAGTGCCTGGTTCACATCTCTTGAACATAAATTAAGAAGATTATGGATCTGGTATCCTGGACGTTCAATTCTTTTGATAAGAAATTTTATCAAAGCGACAAGGTCCTGGAGAGCCTTCATGTCCAGCTGAGATTAAATCATTGCACATAAGCTTTTAACAATGTTAAGTCAGATCCTCTGGATGGATTCTTCTTTGTTGAAATGTTTCGTCTTTTATCCATAACACGTCTTTAGTCTGAGACCCTGCTGCAAACTTAGTTTTATAAATAGTGCCTTATCATAGTGGGTCAACCAGTTTGCCACTGACAGTCAGAACTAGCTACGCACATGTATAAGGAGGACCAGCTTAACAATGGATCAACCATCCCTGCTAGCTGCTTGCTACTCACAGAGGGCTGAGTGATACTAGCAATCACAGCATTGTAAGAGGGGGACAGTTGAACCCGGAGGCCTCCACCCCTGTTTAATGATGGACGATTTCTTTTCACAAAGATGGCCTCCTTTACTCCTCTCTCAAACCATCGTTCCTCTCTGTCCAGGATGTGAACATCTTCATCCCTGAAAGAGTGACCGCTGGCCTGGAGATGAGTGTAGACCGCAGAGTCCTGGCCTGATCTTGTTGATCTTCTGTGCTGGTCCATCCTTTTGGCCAGTGGCTGTTTAGTTTCCCCGATGTAAGACTGATCACAGCCCTCCTGACACTGAACAGCATACACAATATTACTCTGTTTGTGCCGGGGGACTGGATCTTTGGGATGAACCAGTCTTTAATGTATTTTGGGGTTTAAAAGTCACTGGGACGTTATGTTTAGAAAATAAACGTCTCAGTTTCTCTGATACTCCCTCAACATATGGAATGACCACTGGTCTGAGTCTGGGTTCCTCCTTTTCACCTATTGGCTGACTGGAGTCCTGTTTGGGTTTCTTCTCTGCTTTCAGGAAGGCCCAGTTAGAGCTTGTCTTGTGTGGGATTTCTCCTTCTGGCTGGCTCCTGAGTTACTCCTAATCCCTAACTGCTCCTCAGGCTCTTACATGCAGTTTCTGCCCGCTGCTCCAGCTACGTTACTTTTTCTTATTCTAAAGTGTCCTCTAGCAACCAACTTAAGAGTCTGGAAATAGTTGTGCAACTTGTTCAGAAACCTTTATTAAATGGATATAACAACCAACAAACACACTGATAAATAGAAATGTCCCTCTGATGTGAACAGCAGCGTATGCATTTTATTCTAATTAAGAACAGGCTTTACATTGTCTCTGCAGAGCACACGAGTCAGGAGGGACACGCCGGCAGTACCTGTTTCCATTGCAAACTCTGCCAGTAACCACCACAGAGCGGTTTCCATGGGAGAGCTGAAGGGGGTCCAGGGGGTCTCTGTGTTTATGGTTCTGAGTTTCACCAACAGATGGCGCGTGTTTCCAACTGTCTGTCATCCGGGCTGAAAACCAGAAGTCTCTGTTTGAGACAAGTGTAAGGACAAAGACTGTGCCCATGTTTTTCTGTTGAACCCCTCCCCCCAGCGGGGCCCCAGGTGTCCATCCTGCGGAGTCGACAGCAGGCTCTCTGTGAGAGAGCAACGCCCCTGTCGCTCTGCTCTCATCAGCCCCACCCTCATCTCCACCCTCACAAGTCAGACAAACTCACACACACAACACAGGAAGTCGTGTGAAATCCTTTCAAAGAAAAACAAATCAAACCAGGGCCAAAAATGGAGTTAATTGTCTTCTGTTTCAGAGACAGAGGGGACAAAACATTTAATAACTCCTAACAAACTTATAAACTAATTGGGCATTCAACGTGTATGTCAACAATATATGCAATTTATTTTTTAAACATTGTACTGAAATGTTCTTAGCCTCTTAATGCTGTGAGTCACATGTGAAATATCTGTAGATGGGATAACAAAGTCCATGCTCAATAATCCAGGTATACAATTCAACATTTTTCAGTCAGGTCATCTGGACTGTTTCTTTTTTTTTTTGGTGCTGAAACGTTTCGCCTTTGACCATCTTAGCACCAACATAACTGGTTTGTTGCCCTTTTGAGTAAGCTGTGGGAGGAAGAATCAGTATTGTGTTGTGTGTTTCCTTGACTGGTGAAGCCTTCTGGATTGAAGGTGAAACGTTTCAGCACCAAAAAAAAAAAACCTGACTGAAAAATGTTGGGGTGTAGATGGGATAGTTATTCTATTTTAAATTAGGTTTTCTGTGGAAATGCAATATATACAATTAATATATTCCCTTCTGTAGATACCTCTTCGAACAAATTGAAGGTCCGACTGCAAGGATGAGCTAAAATCTAAGATCAAAGAAGACCTTCTTGTCTTAAAGCAGCTATAATCTTCAACATTTCTTATCAGCTCATTAAACTTTACACCAATGTTGATTATATATTACATGGTTATTCCTGCCTAATATATTATTTGTTAGTTGGTCACGTCTTCTCAAACGTAAACTTTATTACTTCAAACAGGGCTCATTCCAAGAACTGTCTTCAGCAAATAAGATAATAATTGTTCAAATTGTTTCCACAGAATCCTGACTCGAAAAGAGCTCAACTCTTCCTTTAAAACAAAAACTACACATTTTTTTTGGTCTGTGCAGCAATGGTAAATAAAGAAGTGATGCACATGTCATGATGGTTTGTAGTCTTTCTTTGGTTCAGAGTTTAGATGTTAGATGTAAGCTAAGCGCAACTCTTTTTGTGTGTGACTAGAAATCTAGAAATTTATGATAACACACTCAGTAATGTATTTTGTATACATTTAAAAAAAATGTTGCTGAGAGGGCTCCAATGGGGCCCCCATCCTCTTATTACCAAGAGTTCTTCACTTTTATTATTGTTTTATTGAAGTGTATATGTTAGTGCTTACCACTTTAGCTTTTCAAATAGGCTTTTATTTTGTAAAAGTGCACCGGAAGTGAGATTTCCCCCCCACCGTCTAACTTGCCAGCCGAGCCCAGCAGCAGGCTGGCCTCCCCCCCGGATGACTGGGAGTGACGCAGGGCAGAAGCAAATAAATAAATAAATAAAACAGGGTGTTCAGCGGGGGAGTGGGACCACGGAGATGCTGTCAAAGACTTCAGTCTGATTTATTTCGCAGGTTCGAGTCCGACGCACGAGCTGTCTCTCCGCGCGCAGGGCAGGAGCCTCCGCTGCACGCGGGCTTTGTGACACCCCAGCTCATAATAAGGGAGCATCGCCTCATCCTTGGGGCGGATCAGTTTGGACACATTCCCAGGTAGGCTTCGTCCTCCCTGGATGCGGATGCTGCGTGTCCAGGCTGCACGGATGAACTAAATGCACCTGAGATCATCATCAGAACAAATAAACAAACTCATTTTGTCTTCATGGTACAAAGACTGATCTCTGCTTCAGCAGTCACGATTTCTTCCTGCCGTGTTCAGCCATTCCTAGCAGCTGTCTAATTAATAAGCCTCGGACTTTGTCCTCTTTAGGGTGGTCTCTGTTGCTACATGGAGAAGTAGCCTCGTTTTCTCTGAGCATCAGTTTGAGAGGACGTTTGGACCTCCTCCCCACCTCCTCTCCGCCACTTCAATCAAACCTCCACGATGAATTACCTGCGTCGACGACTGTCGGACAGTAATTTCATGTCCAACCTGCCCAATGGCTACATGACGGAGCTGCAGCGCGCCGAGCCGCCGCAGCAGAGCCCTGCGGTGTCTCCCGGGCCGGCGGAGCGGCGCCAGCCCCCGGGCCAGCATCAGCAGCAGCATCAGCAGCAGCAGCAGCAGCAGCAGCAGCAGCAGTCTGCAGGTGGGGGCTCCAGTTTCTTCTCCTCCCTGTCCAACGCTGTGAAGCAGACCACAGCTGCCGCGGCTGCAACCCTATCCGAGGCAGCGGACCGGGCAGGTGTGTCCAGCCACGCCAAGATCCTCCTGGTCATCGACGACCAGCAGACCGACTGGTAAGAGCCGCGCGCATGCATGTGCCTGGCTGCGTCTAGACAGCAAAGCATTGAGAGAGCTGCAGTGAAGTTCCATCCAGAAGGTCATATGATTCAGGTGATGCCCTCAAGGTGCAGCACGAGACACAGTGCCTGCATGGAGCTGATGGTGCCGAGGCAACGGCGCAACATGTAAACATGCAGGACATTTTCCTTTATATGTCATCTGCATGTAGAGATGAAATCAGAAAAGGCTGATGACGCCATGTAATGTCTGTGAAGGACTAATGTGTAGATTTTTTTTTTTTTTGTCAAGCATCTGGGTAAGAGCTTTGCTTTAAAGCTGCATTTTTTTTAAACCTCCATAGGCGTCAGTACAAAAATAACTCAGTTATTATCACATCTGAACTCCTGACACTTCATCAATATGCACGTGTTCAAAGCATTAGAGTCCAACAGGAGAAACACAGCAGGCTGTAGAAGTCCTCAATGGATGGGGGATGAAACGTTTCTCACTTAAAGAAACTGGTCCAGATGACACAGTTTAACCTTTTTGTTGTGATCTACCTGATGATTGAGTTTACAACTTTTATATTCATCAATATATTTCAGGCAACTATCAGAATCAACTGCTCAGAGCCCCCAGGCCAGCTGGGCCCTCAAGAATACTATACCGGTAGTACAAACTTGTATTTTTATGTTAACAAATAAATTATTTAAAACTACTAATGTATAGATCTTTGCTTGTCTAAAAGTAATTGATCTTTTCTGTAGATAACTAAATACAGAACATAACATTTAGCCCCGCCCCCTGATTCCTGCAAGCCTTTCCTCAGGAACTGCATTCAGTGTGTTTCAGGAATTAAAGGCAGTCGTTGCAAAGTCACGAAGACCAGTAAAAAAAATATATCAGGAAGTAATAAAAAATAAATCTGCACTATGTTTTTCTCATATTGATGCTTAATATGTTCTTAAATTAAACTGTTGTATGCAAAATTTGTGAACGACTGCCAACTAGCATGAAGCAGCCAAAGTGACATCCATGGAAGAGCTGTTAAGAATTGAAATGTTAGACTGGTTTGAAATTGGTACATATCTAAATTCAATTTTTTTTCTCTAAAGTGTGCAGATTAAAGCACGTTGTTTACACTGAACGCAGACCTGCATTTCAGACTTACACATCAGTAAATCTGTAAAACTAGGGGAGTAAACTCTTTCAGTCTGCACCATTTCTTTCAGCTATTGTCTCACTGCATTAAACTTGTTAAAAGCACTATTCATAAATGATGAAGCATGGACATTATAAAGTGATGTTAGTAGTGATATAGTGGTGAGAGGATGAACTAAAATGGACTCCAACAAACAAAATTCTGTTTAGGGTTCGTCACAACGTCGTCAGTACCCTGCAGGTTTTTTAAATGTATCTTTTTAATCAAAGGTTCTTGCAGCTTCCAGTGCTGGAGGATGTGAGCACCAAGATAGTTCTCAGTTTGATTTCAAAATGTTCTGCTGCTGGAACCAAAAATATTTGGGCCAGTTTTAGTGGATAAATGGTCTCGATTTGACAGCTGGACTCACCTTCTTGTTCCATATTCAGGGTGAAGGTCTTTCGAGGGAAGAAGGTTCACGGTGACTTTGACATCAAGGTAGAACAGGTAGGTTTTAAACACTTCACTGTGCTTTGTAACGAGATATTGCTCGCCTTTATTTCTAAAAGGTTGTAGAAATTATTAATAACCATACAGCCTGAGCCACTTTAAAGAAATCAGCCAGTCGTCTCTGAGACTTTGATGCTCTAGTTGGAGCAAAGTTAGATTTTATTTCATAAGACGTCAGTATTGAATAAGACTATGCTAGATTTATTTATGCTAAAACAGAAATAGACCTTAAGTATGGTTTATTTTCCTTTCGTCAGATGAATGCATGAACGTCATTAATGAGCTGGTCATTATTTACAGTAACAGAAGAGGCTTTCTTCTCAGAGCATTCAGAATAATAAATGTCATTAAATTGCTCTCCCATGAAACATTATTAACAGAATTTATCTTTTTTTTTTTAATGATTGATGCAAACTTTTTGCAACCCTATACCTAGATAAATCATGTGTTTATGCCGCCTGGTAACTGACCCAAAGTCATTTATCTGACATGAATTATTCATTATTTGGACTACTTATTGGTCCAGTTTTAGACAGTAACTATTCATAGCATATTGGGAGCAGAGGGAGCACCGAAAAGTACATAATCTATTTTTTATTTTTAAATCCTTTTCATTTCTGTCTCGTCTTCATGTGGCTTTAACTCATTATTATTGGCCAACAATGTGTTTGCCTGTTTCTTTGTCTGTGTTTGTGTCTGTCTTTTACTGAACTCTCTCATGAACAAACTTTAACGAAACTTGCAGAAAGTAATCAATTGATCTACATATAATCAATAAACTTTTAGAGTCAATCTGATTCAAGATGGTCGCCACAGCCAGCTGGCCCTAAAAAACTCATGACTGAGCATAGTTGAGTCAGATTTACAGATTTTGACCTTATTGACATGGTAGTAGCTGAGACTGATCTTCAACAGATTGCACAAGACTTTAATTAAAATCTCTGCCATTAACACTTGCAGTAAAGTTTTCCTATTAAAAAACTTTTATTAACCAATGGATGGATTTTACTTTTAATGACACATTCAGGAAATTATTATTGTACAACCGATGAACATTTAAAGTCAACTCATTTCAAGATGGCTGCCACAGCAAACTGACCTGAGAAAAGGCATGAATGGTTTTAATATAATAATTCTATTAATAATTATTTTGAGCTGAGCCTTATTCACAACACTGAGTGCTCAAGATCATTGTGTAAAATTTAGCATTAATTATATTAGCATTAACCTTGTTTGGTAATAAATGACTTGAACAACTGGATCGTTTTTCAGGAAGTAACCACTGGATGCATGTTTACAACTGATTAACTTTTGGCCTCAACCCAATTCAAGATGGCCTCCACAGCTTGTCAGCCTTAGTCAACACTAAAATAGCTATAACTTTGCCAATTATAAAAAAAATATTGAGCTATAATTTGATATGGTGTTAATGGAAACTCCTTCACTCTGAGTGTGACTTCTCACATTAATGCATTTTGTTCATACATTTTTAAGCTATGACCTAAACAGTTACAACTTTTTCATTTTTTTTTTTTTTTTTACTTTAAAATGATCTGAGACCTTGACATGAAAAGGCGATGGACAATATTCATTCCTTCAAGGAGCTCAAGGCGTTTTTATGTTCTTTTACAGATTTCAACAAGGAAACACGCTTCAGACACTGACAGATTCAGGATCTTATAATTATCTACATGCTGACAGATGTAGAAATAGTTATTCATACCAGAGCAGTTTTAGTGTGTATGTACGACAGAGCTTTAGGGCCACGCAAATTAAAAAAAAAAAAAAAATTACATTGCCACACTAAAAAAAAAAAATTAAAAGCCATAAAATTATGAGAGTAAAGTCGTACGAGACTTTTTTATTTTGCAGCTCTCGTTTATTACTGTATATATATATTTTTTTTCACAAGTCAGATCCACGATGCGACCTGTCAATCAATCCAGTAGGCGTGTCAGCAAATGACCCATCCGAAACTGAATACTCCTTACCTGCAGAGCTGCGCTGCAGCCCATCAGAGCGTACCACCTTACTGTAAGCAGCTTCAAAGTCCTGAAGCTGATAATAATCTGATGCTGCTGTGCTAACAGATTAACTATCTCCTTATTTGTAAAACCAATACCAAAGTATAACTTAACAAGATGCTCAACATTCTTCATTTTACCACAGTTAAAATACAACAAACTCTGCTTTATGTGTCGGAGTTCGGATAATATTACGACTCATTTAGCTTCAGATTGGTCATTTGCTGACACGCCTACTGGATTAATTGGCAGGTCTTAGAAAAATAGATAAATAAATAAACGAGAGCTGTAAAACAAAAGTCTCGTATGACTTTATTCAAGTAATTCTATGGCTTTTAATTTTTTTTTCTTAGCGTGGCCCTAAAGCTCCGTCGTTTGTACGAGAGCTTGACCATGATGTCATCCTTTTCAGGCAGAATTCTCTGAAATCAACCTGGTGGCCAACTCCTTGGGCACCTACAACGTGAACATTGATGCCATCAGGAATGGACATAAGGTTACTAAGTAAGTTGCTTTCTGTTAAGAATCATTGCACTGCTGCATATCTGAGGTCCTAAAATTCATCTGTGTTTTTAAAGTCACTAAACGGTAACCAAAGAGTCTTCCTAACCATGCAGTGTAACATTTTGCTTGTGTCTGCACCAGATCCTTCAGGCCAGACTTTGTGCTGATCAGACAGCATGCGTTCAGCATGGACAAGAACGGAGACCATCGGAACATGGTGATTGGTCTGCAGTACGCTGGAGTGCCAAGTGTCAACTCTCTGCACTCTGTCTATAATTTCTGTGACAAACCATGGGTCGTAAGTAGTATTTAATGACTTTAAACACCGCCAGGCTGATTACAGAAGGGGATCGGATCTATACAGAGTATATGGTAGCATCTTATGGACGATGTTTGCTTCAGTTTGCTCAGATGTCAAGACTCAACAAGCAGCTGGGCCCAGAGGAGTTCCCTCTGATTGAGCAGGTGTACTATCCAAATCACAAAGAAATGGTGAGTTCTTTGCGATCTGATTGTTGGACTGCAGTGTCCGTACAGTTAGTGTTGCAGTAGAGCATTTATCGCAACCCTGCAGCCTCAGCCCATCAACAACAGGTCTTCAGCGAACTGTGCTCTCTGTGCTTGCCCGAAACTCATTAAATATTTAGCGTTTCAATCTTTAGAGAGCTGAGATGTTTTTCACCTACAATGAAATCAGTGCATGTTTTAACGTTTATTTTTTTGCAGATCACTTCCCCTCATTTCCCTGTTGTCGTAAAAATGGGCCATGCTCACTCAGGAATGGGAAAGGTAGACTGTTTACGCAACTAATAAATCCTTTACGTGCACAGTATGTGTGTGGGACAAATACAATGGAATCTATTTATCTTCTGACATTTTTTTTTTTTTTGCAATAGGTGAAAGTGGACAATCAATATGACTTTCAAGATATCGCTAGTGTTGTGGCACTGACTAAGACCTATGCTACATCTGAGCCATTTATTGATGCAAAGTACGACGTCCGCATCCAGAAGATTGGTAACAATTACAAGGCTTACATGTGAGGGTTTTAGTTCTCTTCAGTTCTTAATATTTTATTCTACTAAATCCTGAACAACTTACTGGCAGCTTGTGGCAGATCAAACAACATAAAATCTTGTTACGTTTAACAGGAGGACTTCCATTTCTGGCAACTGGAAGACTAACACCGGCTCATCTATGCTTGAACAGGTGGCCATGTCAGACAAGTAAGAGCATATGGCTGTATTCCATACACATTTGTATTATTAGATGTCTCACTGTGGTATGATATGTGCATTTAACATTTTGTTGCAGGTACAAAATGTGGGTGGATTCATGTGCAGAAATCTTTGGAGGATTAGACATCTGTGCTGTGGAAGCACTGCACGGTAAAGACGGCAAGGACTACATTATAGAGGTAAAACAGGATTATCAGATATTGATGAATATGTGATCATGAGGGAAATCCATAAACTTGATCAAGTTATTGTGTTTCAGGTTGACGACTGCTCAATGCCATTTATTGGGGATCAGCAGGATGAGGATCGCGTTCAGATAGCAGAACTAGTTGTTTCTCAGATGAACCAGACTGTTCCACGCACTCCAAGTTCTTCCGCAGTCCGTGCCTCTGCAGGACAGCCAGCACAGGTGCTCAAACTGCAAAAAGTTCTTTAGCAAACCCTGTCCTTTTGGTTTTTACTTGTTGTCATTGTAGGCAATCTGCAACTAAAGTACTCATTCTCTAAGGTTTACAATTTTTTACATTTTTGACTAGGTTTCAAATAGTACCTTTCACAAAAAGTTATTGAAACAGAGTCACCACTCTGAAAGGTCTGCAAAATTAAGGCAGTAAAAAAAGTAATCCAACCATGCAATGCTTATTATGGCCAGCAGGGAGAGACTCTTAATTTTGGTAAAACAGGAAGTCTGGTTGTAAAGGAATATGTGGGATCTTTCATAAAACAGTTCCATGAAATGGTCACACAGACAGTCCATCTTTGCTGCCTCCAGTTGTTCATAAATCCCTTATGGAGCCGGCCATGTTCTGCACAGGTGGAAGCTTTCAGGAATGAAGCGAGCTGTGTGGAACCAAAAGAGGCGTGGAGCAGAACTCAGCTGCATTGGCTCGGAGCACAGCACATTAAATGTGTGATGGATGTCACCCATGTATCATTTTCAAAACTTGACAAATAACTCAGTTTAACAATTCTCCTTGTGGTTAACAATTTTTTATTTTTTTACTAAATGCCAAGTTCCTGTGCGTCATCATTCATCTTCCCTCAGTAACAAATCTGTTTGTTGTTGTTCAATCCTTCAACTGGGTAGAGCTGTCATTTCTAACCCGAATCCGAAACACACGTGGGCTCAGGCTTCTGCGGTTTTATGAATCATACAGCACAAAGAAAACAAAATAAGAATGCACAGTATAAAATTGTGTTAATCTACTTGTTGAGGCAGATCCAACCAGCCGGTTTAAAGAGGTTTAAAAAGTTGCGTTAAGCTCCGATGAACAACCTGTCACCGGCCGCATGCGTCTGCTAACCCGCCAGTTGAAATGGACTTACGATCTGTCCAGGCTGTGCCCTAGCTTTTGCACAGTGATGGCTGGACATGGGCACCAGTGACCCCCGCTACCTGAAAAGGAAGAAGCGGGTAAAGATAATGGATGGATGAATCAGCTGATCACCGGCTGCGCGCGTCTCCACACCTGCTGTCATTTGCGGTGAAGGAAGTAGCAGCATCTACAAAAGATGAAGCGAGCAGCGCGTTCAATGAAATTACCCTTGTTCTAATAATTTTCCAAATAATTTTGCTCTAAAAATATTTTTATTTATCTGTACAATAACCTATCTTTATTGATTTTTTTTAGGCTATTCGTTTTGTATGTTCACATCCATTTGGTGAAACAAGAAATCTTATATCTTCCTTTCCTTGAAATACATTTTTAAAATATCATGTCAAACTGATTTGCTTACAAAAGCAGTAAAAGCTTAATAAAACATTGTTTTTTGTTTTTTTTTCCAGTTCTGGCCTGTAATTACAGTTAATTTGATCGGATCAGGTTGGGTTCAGACAGGATGGCTATGGGCTGGGACTGGGTCGGATTTATTAGGTCCAAATGCAACTTTACAACTGGGTGGGCTCACAGACCATATGTTATCACTTCATTACATTATTTAACCACAAAACTAGCTTATCTTATTACATGTTGACCATTTTGGATCCATTACTATCATGCTTTATGGCACAAAGGTTCACCAGGGGTGGGTTGGCTACAACCCGACTGCTTCAGTCCATTTAGAAATCATACAGAGTCGGACAGAAGGCATCTAGGTCTCAGCTTGAGGTGTCTTGTGAAAGAGCCTCATGAGAATCCTCTTTTCCACTTGAGCAATGATCATTATATTTTCCTTTCGGGTTTACAGTAATTGGTTAATTTTACTCTTTGACTTCCAAATTATTGTCTACAATCTAACAAGTGACCTGATACTGGTATGTAACTGTAGTACTGTTGCTTTACCACTTGTACATTTTGCACCAAATATAATTTTTTTCCAAATATGATCGGGCAGGTTTTCTGCAATATGACAGAACTTTTTTGTGAACGACGTGTATGTTTTGTAGAGAGCGGTTTCTCCTCAGCCGGTCTCACAGCCCAAAGTCCCACAGGCTCAACAGCGTCCCTCTCCTCAGGGTAAGAACTGAACAGTCTGTGAAGATATTAAGAAAAAAATTGTATATATATATACGG